CTTTTTCCTGGTCTTCGCAGGGCAGGAGTATAACTTCTTGAAGATGGAGCTCCAGGAAGTGGAGTCCCTAGGGGAGACCTATGATTTTGACAGTATCATGCACTATGCCCGGAACACATTCTCCAGGTGAGAGATGGGGCCTGGCCTCCTCTGGGGCAGCCTAATCCTGCCTTCTGTAGGGCGTTCTCTTTGGGCCTCTCACTTTGCACTGGGCTGCCCTGCTGGGGCAGTCACCAAGGGGGAGAGTGGGCTTCTGGGTGGCCCCAGCTCCCGAGCTGAGGACCCATGGATGCTGCCTGCCCTGCTGTCCTCTTCCATTGTGGGTCCATGGCAGGGCCTGGACGCACGAAGCCTAGTACTGTGGACCCCTGGGATACCTGGCTCAGGAGGCTGAAGTCCAGCCATTTTGCCTGACACATATGTATATGCTGTGGCTCAGAACTGTATCAGCCAAGGGAGCTGAGCTTTTCCCTCATCTGTCAGCCAAAAGAGGACACATTTTTCTAATTGGGGGCATCCTTTGTAATCAGTTTGCCTTTTTGGAACCGGCTAATTTGCACAAAGGCTGGCTACTGCCCTGAACTAGCCCTTTCCTCTGCTTACAAGCGCACACACTCCTCCTGGGGGCCCACATTCCCCGAAATCATGACCGGAACCCCCAGAGGTAGTGGCCCAGCCTCTGCACCGGCAGCTTCTCCTTAGCAGAGTGTGGGAAACAGCCCCTCCCTGCTCCTTTACAGGCTCCCCTTCCAAGCCTGGCCTTTCCCATGCCTGGCTCTTTCCTTATCCTCTGTCTGCAGTCCTGCTCTGTCCCACGCACAGTGCCCCTCCTCAGTCTCCCTGCCTCCAGACCTGAGGGAACAGAGACCAAGGAAGGGTGGTGAGGTCATCCTGCCCCCCACAGCCACAGACCTCCCCTGGACATTTCCCACCACATCCCACCCCACCCCCTGCTGAGTTCCACCCAGCTGGGTGTGAGTCAGGGACCCTGGGGAGGCAGAGGGCCGCCTGTTTCCCTTCGTCCTGCTCCTCCCAGATGGAAACACCCAGGACTTAGCAGGCAGGAACTGGGCAGGGGGGACAGGAGACATGGATGGATCCGGAGTTGTGTGGTCTGACCACGGTGGAACTTGTCAAAAGCAATCCGTGCCAGCAAAATGAAGCACTGGCCTTGGTAGTCCTGGGAGAAGTTCAGTCACGGCCGAACGAGCATGAGGGGCCACAGAAGCAGAGGCTTGGTGAGGCTAGAGACATGGTCGCTAGGGGTCCCAAGCTCTCCTGAGGCTGGGGGTTGGACCTAGACTGAGCCAGAACACCACTAGGTTCCCAGGGCATGTGGAGCCTGTGTCCCTGACCTCCCAGCGTATTCCTGGGGCTCCCCCAGGCTCCAGCAGTGTGGCTGCCACGGAGCAGGGTGGCTGCTGGTCAGTGGGCAGCATAATGACAGGGTGAGCAATCTCCACCCGTTCCTGACCCTACTGAGGAATGTCTGGGCTCTGGCAGGGTCGTGACCTTGTGTACACACAGGCACACCACCCCTCCCTCCATCAGACTCTCACCCAGATCGGACTTTTCCTCTTCAGGGGCATCTTCCTGGACACCATTGTTCCCAAGTACGAGGTCAATGGGGTGAAACCTCCCATTGGCCAAAGGACCCGGCTCAGCAAGGGGGACATCGCCCAGGCCCGCAAGCTCTACAAGTGCCCAGGTCAGGGCAGGGAGGGATGGACCAGGGAAGGGTGGAGGGCAGGGCCTGGGGCTGAGGAGGTTAAGGCTGTAAGTCTTAGAGAAGGCCAGCAGCTGCCTGGTGGTAGGGGTGGAGGTACCCAGGCAGGGGCAGTGTTCAAGTTAAGGAACCAAACTGGGGCTGGGATCAGGTGGTGAGGGGATCAGGTGAGATACTGAGCCATGTACCTTTGGAGGGTCTGGGAGAATAGGACAGTAGGAGCAGTAAAGGGGACTAGCAGAGCAATTCTCAGGGACGGAGGTAGAGTGAGGCCCACCAAAGGAGCTTTGACCTTAGCTCTGGAAGCCATGTTGCCTGGACAGCAGGGCATCCTGCAGCACTAGGCCAAATAGGTCCAATGGTGTGGGCTTATGTGTAAAGAGCACGGAGTGGATCTTAAAGGGACAGGACCACCCCAGACTCCTTCCTCTGCTTAGCCGCTCTTCTCTCCCCTGAGTGATGCCAGAGTTCAGGGCATGGGAAGCCAGGAGGTTGGGGGCATTGAGCATCTGCAGCCAGCAGTTCAGTCATTTCCTTTCTCTGACAGCTTGTGGAGAGACCCTACAAGACAGCACAGGCAACTTCTCTTCCCCTGAGTACCCCAATGGCTACTCCGCCCACATGCACTGCGTATGGCGTATCTCAGTCACACCTGGAGAGAAGGTAACTGAGCGTCCCCTCCTCTGCCAGGACCCCAGAGTAAGAGAGCGTAGTTGATTGTGGCTGTGAATGACCCACCTGGGAAATGTAGACCCATTCACTGCACAAGAACGATGGAGCACTACCTTGAGGAGGGGCTGACTTACTACTCGAGAGGCACTTTTCCAAGGTCTTCTCAGATCTATCCACAGGGTTTTCCTGTGGTATCTGGACCTCTCACTCACTCCTTTACCTTCAGTGTCCTTCCGTGCATTTTTATTGTTCCCAATAGTCAACTTTAAGACTCTATTCCTCTTGATTGGAATATGGTACTTAATGTACTCGTGCAGTCTTGAGCTTGACTAGATTTTATTACTGGTCACGTTGTTCATTCCAACAGCTCTCAAGACCATTTGGAATCTGAATTCCACCATTCAGCAGGTGCCATCTCTCTTACTCTGTCCTGAGCTCATTTGATAAGCATGTCTTTTCCGGGTCTTCTGAAACTGGTCTTTGATTGAAACATTGAACATGACATGAATCAAAGCAGAGCCAGGTTCCCTCTCTGAGCTGACACTGTTCATCTGCAGACTTTGGGCAGATTTATTCCACTGGCTATGATACCACTTGCTACGCTACCATCCAGCCATGAGTCATCACCTTGTTGACTGCGAAGTGAGCTTCTCCGACCACGAATTTGTCACCTTTATATCCCTGGCATAGGAAACAGCTCATAAATGCTGAATATATAGATGGATTGCCTTACCAAATCAAAGCCACTGTTCCACCAGTTGGTGAAACACCTTTTAAAAAGGAAATGACATTTGTCTGATGTGCTTTATTTTAAGTGAACCTGAACCAGCTCCTAATAATCAAGTGTCTCTTTTCTAAAGGGTAGCAGGCTATCTGTTTATTTGGGGATTGACATTCAACTTAGTGGGTTGTGATTCCCAGGATTCACTCCAAACCCCTCTTCCAATACACACGCGCACGCGCGCGCGTGCGCGCGCGCGCACACACACACACACACACACACACACACACACACACCCCTTTTGGAAACTGGCAAAGCTTTTGTTCTGAGTTTTCGAGATTACAGACACTGATCACATCTGTAAGTTATTTGAATGTCCTCTGATGTCATTTTTGAGCCTAGAGGCAACAGCCAATTTAAAGAGGTGCTCACTGACTCCCCTCCAATATGAATGAGTTTCTATTCCCTTTCCAAACTATGCTTCTTTTACTTTTTGCAATTTGAAGATCATTCTCATTTGTGGTAGTCTTTTATTGAGGGTTGAGTAATTCCGTCATCTCTCTCAGTTAACATTCTGTCACCCTCCCTCAAAAGTGAACCCACCCTAGGTGGCTCAGTCAGTTAAACATCCGACTTTGGCTCAGGTCATGATCTCACAGTTTGTGGGTTCGAGCCCTGCATCGGTCTCTGTGCTGACAGCTCAGAGCCTGGATCCTGCTTCAGATTGGATTCTATGTCTCCCTCGCTCTCTGCTCCTCCCCTGCTCATGCTCTGTCTCTCTCTGTCTATCAAAAACAAACATTAAAAAAAAAATTTTTTTAAAGTGAACCCATCCCTTCCTTGTTCTTTTTCTTGTTCTGAATCTAATTTAAAAATTGCTGTCCTTTTTGCTGTCTTGTTCTGACCATTCTCTGGCTTCCTTTATCTCTCTGCCAAAGGTCTCCACAACTTCCGCTTTTGGAAATCTCACAGCAAATAACAATAAAAACAACTGATATTATTGAGCACATGATTGGCCAGGCATGTGTTAAATTCTTTATGTGTTATGTCTTATAATTAACACAACAACATTCTAGGCCGGGTGCTAATGTTGTCCCCATTCTGCATATGAGAGAACAAACTTGGAAAAATTAAGTAACTTGCCCAAAGATTATGACACAAAAGTCCATGATTGCAATACTGTGAATTCTAAACCCTGTCCCACATCAACAATTGCTAAAGTGCCCTTCCAGAGACCTGTGTGCTCACTACATACCCGGCATTGGGGACAGAGAGATGCATGAGAGAGTCCCCAGCCCCTGAGGAACACAGAGTAGGGTAGAGCGTTGCTTTTTTTCCTGTTCAAGAAGTTTGCTCAGCCAGCAGGGATATGCCAACCTTGGTCAGGATCAGCTTCTTTCCCTGTGGTTCCAGGCTGGCATGGGCTGGCCCTAGTCTCTAGTAGACAAATGGACTTGCCCCAGGAGCCTCTCTGTGCCTTAGGCATGCTCCCTCCACAACACCCAAGAGACTCCCCATCCTTTTTCAGAGGCCTGCCTGGAGTTCCAGGGAGAGAAGTAGGCTACAGAGAAAAATTTCAAACTTTTCAGTGCGTAGCTGCAAAAATAGAAAAAGTAAAATTCACTCACAGTTCTGGATCAAATTGTAGAGCTGTAATTGAGTCAAAGATGGAACCCTGGGGGACAGGAACCCTCTAAGGGTCTGCAGAGGCTGGGGAGCCAGGGAGGATAGCGTCATGAAATAATAGTGACCATTCTTTGCTGTTTACCCATTACGTTTCAGGCAAAGTATTAGGCATCTTGTATGTATGACCTCATTATTCCCCACATCAGTTTTGTGGTGCAGGTGTTCTCGTCCCTTCTGTGCAGATGAGGGAGTCGAGGCTCAGAGGGCATCAGTAAATCTGCCCACGTTTACACAGGCAGTCATGGTGGAACCAGCATTTAGTTCCAAGACCGTCCAACTCCAAAGTCTACGCTCTTTCAACAGTCAACCTTAAATAAACTCGCTTGCATTCGTGGGTGGACTTTGATGTTTCTTTTGTGCTGAGAGGTTGTTTTCACTTGCCTCCTAGTTCTCTGCTTATTGCCAGAAGTTTGAGTGATACAGAAATTTTATGCAAGGCAGGGATATATCAAACAAGAAAGAGCCACTTTGGAAGGCTTCTTGTAGGACCCCCATGTCTCCACTGCACGTCATTAGCAGCTGCTCCAAAGAAGACTTAAGAGTGTTTCCCAAGCGACAAAGCCCGCCCCTTAGGAGCAGGAAAGTGGTTTCAGGAGATCATGGTCCATTGTTGCAGCCGAGCCAAAAAGATAAGAACTTAAAATGTCTTTTGGCTTTGACAGTGTCCACCCTCATTCCCATCCCTGCCTTGTGATATCTTGCCTATTCTTCAAGTTCCAAATTCCGCTCCTCTGTAATGCCTTCCCCAACCCCACCTCCAGTCCTCCAGTTGGGCAGCTATGACCCCTCCCTTAAGTCCCTGCTTCCTGGTGCTGAAGGGTGTAGGGCTCTGAGGGTGAAGGGAAAGTTGACCCTCATTCTTCATGCAGCTGTTAAGCAAAATTGACTGGCAGGCCTGGGGAGGCCACATGGAATATAAGTTTAAGGGTTTAAGTTTAAGACCCGAGTGCCTGGGTTTGACTCCCAGCCGTGCTATTTGCTAGATGCATGATCTTGGGGAAGTTACTTAACCACTCTGTGCCTTTGTTTCCCCGTTTGTAAAGTGGGTCTGATGGTTGTGCCTCCCTCATGTGGTTGATACAAGGATTAGACAAGTTAATGCACGTAAAGTGCTCAGTGCTGTGCCTGGCACATGGCAGGAATTCCATCAATGTTGGCTGCTACTGTCATTCTGTAGCCTTTTTCTTTTTCTTTCTTTTTTTTTTTTTTTTTTACATTTACTTAGAGAAAGAGCACATGTGCATGCATGCATGCAGTGGAGGGGCGAGAGGGATAGAGGAAGAGAGAGAACCCCAAGCAGACTCTGGGCTGACAGCTCAAGGGGCATGACCCCACATAACTGTGAGATCATAACCTGAGCTGAAACCAAGAGTCAGATGCTCAATTGACTGAGCCACCCAGGTGCCCAATGTCATTCTATAGTCTTAATCTATTAAATCGGTAATCCCTGGTCGACTTCCTAGGTCCCCCTTTTGCCTCCTTCTACTTCCAGATTCTGGGATGAACCATTTCAAATTTCAAAATCTTAAGCAAACTCAACTCCGACAGTGAAATTAACTTTTTTTGAGTGGCATACACAGTACTATATATGTGTGGCATGTATGTATATTGCATGTGTGACACATACATGTGTCAATGTTATAAACTTTCCATGTATTGGTTTAATTCTCTAAGTCCTATGAGGTTGGTACTATTACCATTACCATCTTATAGATATGGAAATGGAGGCACGAAGGTGTTCAATGATGAGCCTAAGGTCATACAGCAAAGTCAGACTGAAGCCAGACTGTGAGTCCCCGGGGGTCAACATATCGTCCCAATTGCTCCCTGAGAGCATCCAACAAATGTGGGGAGTGCTGCCCATTTGTGGGGTCCACTTGTGGACACTCTGCACCCTGTTTCTCATTGAATCCCCCAGCTCTTTATGATTACTGCTGTTTTTTAGACAAAGACACCAAGGCACAAAGAAGTCAAGCCACGGGCCCATCATCACCAGCCAGGAAGTGGTAGAGGTGGCCAGGTTTTCTTTGGCAAAGGGCAGTGCCCCTGCCACCAGAGCACAGCTGTTTCCACATGACAGAAGCCATTACAACTCTTAATTAGACATCTCTGGTCTCAATATAGCCATGGTGTGCCCTCCTGGAGGATGCCTTTAACTGCCAGCACAGGTCTCTTCTTCCTGAGCGAGGTGACAACTGCTTCCTCCTGCCCCATAGGAGGTCTCGGGTGGGTCCTTTGGGCTTCTGCCTGTGGGCGTGGTTCTTCAGGAGGGTGTGAAGCCATCCTCCCTGGACAGAGCCAGCGTAGTTTCCGAGGGCGAAGGGAAAGTTGCTGCTGTTCTTGTCAGCTGCTGAGCAAAACTGATCGGAGGCCACATGGAATCGTGGTGAAGGATGTAAGTTTAGGAGCCAGACTGCCCTCACTCAGCCCTCTGCATTCCTTCGTCCATCCAGCAACTCCTTAAAGATGTTTTTGTTGTTTGTCAGATATAGAGATAAGTATTTTGAAAAGTATAGGAATTCATATGGTAAAGAGTGAATATTCTGCCCTGGGTCCTCCTCCAAATCCCACTCCCCAGAGGCAACCAAACATTGGTAACACTTGGTATGTCCTTCCAGACTCTTCTAAGTATGTGTGCGTGCATGTGTGTATGGATATGTGGTCTTATGTAACTTGCCTTTCACTCAGCAGGAAATCATGGTCATTGTTCCATGTTAGCGCATCAAGTCCTACCTCAGACATTTTGATGGTTGCTTAACATGCTGTCATCCCCATTCCTCTGATGTTTCATTTAAGTTTTTTCCAAGTTTTTATCATTACCAAAAATGCTATAGTAAATATCTCAAACCTGAGATCTTTATATACTTGGGAAAGTGTATCTATAAAATAGATTCCTAAAAGAAAAATTCTATCCAAGAAACATTTATTAAGCAACTACTACATGCCACACACCAAAGATTCCATATCGAGTTAAATAAAATTCCTGTCCTCATAGGGTTTACATTTTGGCAGAGTAGGGGTAAGGGGGAGACAGACAACAAATAAAAAGTAAATGCGATAGGTCAGATGGTAATAAGTGTTATGAAGGAAATCAGCAATAGGAGATAAAGGAGTGAGGTGGGGGTTACTGTAACATGTGGGATGGTCAGAGAAGGCCTCATTCACATCAGGTGAGTTGGAGTAGAAATGGATAGGAAGTGAGGGAACACATCAGGCAGGTAGCTGGGAAGAGCTTCTAGGCAGCAAGTGCAAAGGCCCCGAGGCAGGAGCAGGCTTGGTGTGTTTGAGGACCAGTAGGGTCCATGTGGCCAGAGCCAAGTAAGCAAGGAGGAAAGTGGTAGGCGATGGGGTCAGAGAGATAGCAGGGGGCTAGATTATAAATGGCCATAGAGGACATGGTAAGTAAGGACTTTGGATTTTACTCTGAGTAACATGCTTTAAAGGATTTTGAGCAGTGGGGAGATATGATCCAATTACATCATGAAAGCTCTGCTCTGCTGGGAGGCAAGATCAAGAGCAGGGACTATTGAACTAATCTTGGAAAAAGATAATGGTAGAGCCAGGACTGAGAGTTCAAGAAGGGGTACAGATGGTTTGAGGAGAGAGGAGGAGAATGTGAAAGGTGTGCCTGGCAGCGCTAAGGACGCAGTGGAAGTCAGTGGTCTCAAATTTCAAGTGAGACAAGCCACATGGTTGTATTTCCTCTAACCATGACTTCAGCCTCCTGGGAACAGGCACAGAGTAGGTGGAAAGTTGGATTTAAGCAGGGGTGTGGTTTTCCAGTGAATACAATGAGGAGAAAAGAGGAAAAAGAGAGTTGAGGTCCTGTACAAGGAGGTGATGATAAAGATGGACCATGGATTTGCTTTGAAGTGAGGTGACTGCCCCAGGCCTTTGCCACTTCATCTATGTCCTACTTTGGTCATTGATCCAGGCACACTGTCTGTCTCCAGAGCAGGAGCAGAACAGATTTTCAACTTCAGTTTTTCAAAATACCAGGACTTGTATCTTTATAATAACAATAATAACACTCAATGGTGACTAATAATCATCAAGAGTAATAGGGTGCACTTTTCAAAACCTGGTCTTGCTTGATTTCATCTCAGAGTGCCACAATTCATAAATGTTTCCCCAAACACAAACACATTTCAACTCATGTACAAATCAAAAGAAAAGAGGCAGGATGGGCTACGGATTCCAAGCCAGGCAAGGACTGATGTGAGTACGTGGAGATAAAGGGTGGGAAAACCCCATAGGCTCAGAAGGTGGAAGGTCATGGTGAACTGGAAGGATTGTTGGACTAGGTGTATGGAGCAAGTGAACGAGGAGAGATTGGGGCACGTGGATGGACAGTGGAGTGCTTGAACTTAAGCTTATGGGGGATGCACAGTTATTGATGATAACAGGGTCTAGGGCATGTCATGCCATGTGTGGCCGAGAAGAGGTGGAGAGAGGAAGTCAGGGAATGAGGAGGCCCAGAAATGGGAAGGGTCATCTAGGTGGCTATTGAAATCACCAAGAATTCTAAAGGGGTCGGTGTCAGGGAGTGACCGAGAGCCAGAGTTATTCTCTGACCATCGACCGTCACAGCACTGACACATTCTCTGACCATCGACCGTCACAGCACTGACACAGGCTACAGACCACAGTTGCCAGTGCCTGCTTTGGGATCTTTTTCATTCTCACCTTCACTCTGACTGTCTCTAACTGCAGTGAGCCAGAGGGGAGATACACCTTGTCCCCTTTTCCTCCAGCAGAGAAGCCAGCTAGACCTAACAGGTGGGTTCCTGGGCCATTTGTGTCCACTGTATACACCTCTCAGGTCACCATGAACTGTTCCTGCTTGTTGGACTCTAGATACAAAAGAGGCTTTGGGGGCACATTCTGGAGACTACTAAAGCAATTTCCCTCTTGGAAAGTGTACCTGTCTACTGTTAATATGCCCACCGGCTGGGGAGAGTTGGTATTTACCAAGGTGTCAAACGTTCCTCCAGTATTACATGACCATTTGATGAGTTCAAAGGCTGAAATGGGTTCATGAACAGGAGGCACTTAGGGCAGTGGCTGTACCTACGAGGTGCTACTTCAGGGTGAGGTGCTCTTTCCTCATTTCATGCTCGTGGCAGCTGAGGTCAGAGAGGTTGGGTGATTTACCCAAGGACTCCCAGCAAGAAATGCAGAGGTGATGTTCCAACCCAGGCCCATGTGTGTGGAGTCTGAGTTTTTTTACTCAGTGAGCTTTTCATGTGTATTTCTTATCCTTCTAAATCATGTGTATTTCTTATCCTTCTAAATCCTAAGCCCCTTGGGGCGCCTGGGTGGCGCAGTCGGTTAAGCGTCCGGCTTCAGCCAGGTCACGATCTCGTGGTCCGTGAGTTCGAGCCCCGCGTCAGGCTCTGGGCTGATGGCTCGGAGCCTGGAGCCTGTTTCCGATTCTGTGTCTCCCTCTCTCTCTGCCCCTCCCCCGTTCATGCTCTGTCTCTCTCTGTCCCAAAAATAAATAAAAAAAAAAAAAAGAAAAAAAAAATAAATCCTAAGCCCCTTGACAGGGACGGATGTTAAACCCACTCACAGGAAGGATTCAGATCTGGTATTCCCCTCAGCAGCTAGCATGACCCCTTGCCTAGAATCAACATTCAATGAATATGTGATGATGGGTGACTCAGCCCGTCTCTCTGCCTCTCCTCTCTGGACCCTTCATTTCCATTTCAGAGCCCCTGGTACCCACATGCCACCCTGGACCCTTCCTATCACTGACACCTCATCCCTCTAATGGTGCTGTGATTGGTGTTGTTTAAGTCGACCAGGAGGAGAGATGGGTTTGTTTAACCCAAACCAGTGTCTCCTCACTAAGGGGATCAGTAAAATGAGACCTCTGGTCTTATACAGATATTCAGCAAGGCCATGTATGTTAAGTGATGACTGAGTTATCTGAGAAAGCTGGCTGTCATTGGCAGACAGCTGGGGAGAGGAGTGCCGTCTCTGCACCAGGAGCTCCTTTTCTGAGCCCCTTCACTATTTATGCAGAGTGAGGCAGGCAGTGGTCATGGGGCCGGCAGGCCAGGCTGGTGGGGAGCTGTGTAACCCTCTTCTCTTCCCATTTCCCCTAGATCATTCTGAACTTCACGTCCATGGACCTGTATCGCAGCCGCCTGTGCTGGTATGACTACGTGGAGGTCCGAGACGGCTTCTGGAGGAAAGCACCCCTCCGAGGTAAGGCCCACCCCCTGCCTCCTCTGTGGAGCCTTCTTTTTTGTGTGAATTGAGGTCTAATTAACATGTAATACCCTCTTAGTTTCAGGTATACATCACAGTGATTGAATATTTTCATGTATTACTAAATGATCCCCATGATAAGGGTAGTTACCATCTGTCACCATACAACGTTATTACAATATTATTGCTTATATTCTCCATGCCGTACATCACATCCCCATGCCTGATTTATTTTGTAACTGGAAGCTTGTATCACTTCTCGGCCTTCTGGCTAAGATCAAGTGTACAACTGGAAGCTTGTGTCTCTTAATCTCTTTCACCTATTTTGTCTACCTCCCACCACCTCCCCTTTGGCACCCATCAATTTGTTCTCTGTATCTATGAGTCTGTTTCTGTTTTGCTTTGTTTGTTCATCTGTATTGTTTTTGGATCCTACATATAAGTGAAATCATATGGTATTTTTCTTTGTTTCACTTAGCATCATACCCTCTAGGTCCATCCGTGGTGTCACGAATGGCAAAATCTCATTCTTTTCTATGGCTGAGTGATATGGATAGCCCACATCTTATTCAATCTATTCATCTACTAAGGGACACTTCGGTTGCTTCCATCACCTGGCTGTTGTAAATAATATTGCAATGAACATGAGATTGCATATCTCTCTTTGAATTGGTGTTTTCGTTTTCTTTTGATAAACACCCAAAAGTGGAATTGTTGGATCATAAGGTAGTTATATTTTTTTAGATTTTTTTTTAAAGTTGATTTATTTATTTTGAGCGGAGGGCAGGGCAGAGAATGATGGAGAGAGAGAATCCCAAGCAGGAGCCACACTGTTAGCGCAGAGCCTTATGCACGGCTTGATCTCACAAACCATGAATGAGGTCATGACCCAAGACAAAATCAAGAGTCCGACACTTAGGGGTGCCTGGGTGGCTCAGTCAGTTAAGTGTCCAACATTGGCTCAGGCTGTGATCTCATGGTTTGTGGGTTCGAGCCCCATGTCAGGCTCTGTGCTGACAGCTCAGAGCCTGGAGCCTCCTTCAGATTCTGTCTCCCCATCTCTGCCCTTCTCCCACTCTCTCTCCCTCTTTCTCTCTCTCTCTCTCTCTCTCATCCTCTCTCTCTCTCAAAAATAAATAAACATTAAAAAGAGAGAGAGAGTTTGACGCTTAACCGACTGAGCCACCCATGTGCCCGGTAGTTCTATTTTTAATTTTTGAGGAATATCCATACTGTTTTCTAGAGTGGCTGCACCAGTTTGCATTCCTATCAACAGTGTACAAGGGTTCCCTTATCACCACTTCCTCAAACCTGTTGTCGGTGGTCTTATTTAAGCAAGCTCCACACTCAGCATGAAGCCTGATGCGGGACTTGATCCCATAACCCTGGAATCATGACCTGAGCTGAAATCAAGAGCTGGATGCTCAACTGACTGAGCCACCCTGGCGCCCCCCACCTTTTTTTTTTAACTTGTCTTCTTGATACTAGCCATTCTGATAGGTGTGAGGTGATATTGTAGTTTTGATTTTCATTTCCTGATGATGAGTGATGTTGAGGATCTTTTCATGTGTCTGTTGGCCATCTGTATGTCTTCTTTGGAGAAATGTCTACTCAAGTCCTCTGCCCGTTTTTTAATTGGGTTGTTTGGTTTTTTTATATTAAATTGTGTAAATTGTTTACATATAGTTTGGATAGAAATCCCTTACCCAATGTATGATTTGCAAACATCGTCTCCCATTCAGTAAATTGCTTGTTCGTTTTGTTGACCATTTCCCTCACTGTGCAAAAGCTTTTCAGTTTGATGTGGCTACTTCCTTCCTACACCTACTCATATTCTCTTCATCCTCCCCTGAAACCCATAGCTTGGCCAAGGGTGATCTGGTGTGGGAAACTGGACTCCTGATAGAGTCAGTGCCTGATAACTCCATCACCAAGTGTATAACTTTGGGCAAATCCCTTCCCTAGTCTGGACCTTAGGGTCTTTGGTATGGGCTTCTGGGCCTCCCTCAGAGGTGACTCTCAGTGTGTGGGTCAGGGGAGTCATATAAGTTGACAGAGGGAGACAGACAGGCACATCTCCACAGTTCCAGGCTCTCCTCATCTGGGCAATTTCAGAGGCTCTGTTTTCTCTATCTGCAAGGTCTGGCTTAAGGGTACCCACAATGCAGCCTGGCACACCACAGAGGCCTACCTACCTGGCACAGACTTGTTTGCACAGGATACTTTGTCCCTTGGTGGTGGGGGGTGGTGAGTAAGTGGGGGATGTGTAGTCAGAACCACAGGACAGAAGTTATTTTAATGGACATGGAGTTAGGGCCAAAAGAAGCTTTTGCGTCAAGCCTGAGGAGCTGTGTGAATTCTCCTTCTCCAATCTGGACATAACCCTAAATAGCCCGGGACTACTCATTGTCACTAGAGTCTTTGCTCCACAGCCTGTGTCTGAAGCAGGATGACAAACCATTACTAACCATCTCTTTTCCCCCCAGTTTCTGATATTTGAATATTTCTTATTAGTCACCCAAAGCAGCTGTCATTACAACACTTCCTCCTGAAGACATGTTAGCATTTCCAAGATTACAGTTTCTTTTTCATAACTTACATTCCTGGGTCAGCACCCTCTGTCCCTTGCTGAAGGTTGGGAAACACCCAGTCTTACTCAGAACACACAAACCATCCCTACTTGATTCTCCACTACAAAGAATTCTACAAATGGCCAGCCTCATCTGCTTACACAGATTCCTGTCAGGTTTTATTTCAAAGGGGACATTTTCTGACCCAGTCCCTAGATTCTAGGATTTATTTGGGGTCCTCTGCCATCTCTTGCGTTGGGTCAAATGAAAACATTCTAAATGTACAAAGAAAGCTGAATTCGTTCTTGGTTATTACTTGTTTGCATGAAGGTCAAATAAGAAAAGTAATGATAATATGCTCTTTGAAAAAAGTAAATAGGGCTGCTGGGTGGCTCAATTGGTTAAGTGTTTGACTCTTGATCTCAGCTCAGGTCTTAATAGGGTCGTGAGTTCAAGCCCTGCATTGGGCTCCGTGCTGGGCGTGAAGCCTACTTTTAAAAAAAGGTAACTAAAACACAGATACGGTTTGATATTTTGGGAAGTCCCCTTTCCTCCCAGAACTCATATTCTATTCCTCGAGTGCATAAAATCCTGTAGAAGTTAGTACTCTCTGGCCCTTCAAGACCACACTAGACCTTAGACTAGTTTCAGGCCAACTGGAGGGCCTTGAGATTGTGTGCCAAGTGCAGACCAAGGCCAGAGCCCCTGAGCCCCTGAGCCCCTAGAGTGGTGGGACAGGCTCCCTGGAGGGACAGCCCTGGAGCAGGGAGGGGAGAGGGACCCACTTCAGGCCTCACTGCCCTCTGTCCACACTGTCTGCGCAGGCCGCTTCTGCGGGGGCAAACTCCCCGAGCCTATTGTCTCCACCGACAGCCGTCTCTGGGTCGAGTTCCGCAGCAGCAGCAACTGGGTCGGGAAGGGCTTCTTTGCCGTCTATGAAGGTACGGAAGAAGAGTGACGAGGGAGGATTGGGTGTGGTCCCTGGGGATCAAAACGCTCACTCCTGGCACACTAAGGGCAAGGTCAAGGGAGCATGAGGGAGGAAGCAGAGACCCCAGTGGGATTGGCCAGGCCTGGGGGCACTAAGAAGCTGGGGGGAGGGGTACATAGGAAGGACTGAAGGAGGGGAGAGAGGGGCTCTTGAGCTGAGCAGAGCATTCTAACTGACCTCACCCTGTGTCCCCAAAGCCATCTGTGGGGGAGATGTGAAGAAGGACAATGGCCACATCCAGTCACCCAATTACCCTGATGATTATCGGCCCAGCAAAGTCTGCATCTGGCGGATCCAGGTGTCTGAGGGCTTCCACGTGGGCCTCACCTTCCAGTCCTTTGAGGTAGGTCGGAGACCCTGCTGTCCCACCTGTTGTGGGTTTCCTGGTGTTGGGCCCTGGCCACCAGAGCTGCTCCAGCTGATCCAGCCCCTGACCCTCAGATCGAGCGCCATGACAGCTGTGCCTACGACTACCTGGAGGTGCGTGATGGGCACAGTGAGAGCAGCACCCTCATCGGGCGCTACTGTGGCTACGAGAAGCCGGATGACATCAAGAGCACTTCCAGTCGCCTCTGGCTCAAATTCGTCTCTGACGGATCCATTAACAAAGCTGGCTTTGCTGTCAACTTTTTCAAAGGTGCTCCTTCCCCATTCCCCACCTGGCCCACCCCCATGGCCAATCCATCTCCTCCATTCCTTCTTTTAATTTTTAAAATTGTGTTTTGTTGTGGTAAAAACACGTAGCTTGAGATGTGTCCTCTGGATGCATTTGTAAGTGTACTATACCATGTTGCTGGCCGAAGGCACGGTGCTCTACAGCAGATCTCCAAGCCTTATTCATCTTGCTTGACTGCAACTTTATGCCTATTTGATTAGCAGCTCCACATTTCCCCCAGCCCCCAACCCCTGGCAGCCATCATTCATTCATTCATCCACTCATTCATTCATTCATTTATTGAATCTATTTTAGATAGCTCGTATAAGTGGAATCCTGCAGTATTTGTCTTTCTGTAACTAGCTTTTTTACTGAACATAATGTTCATAAGGTTCATCCATTTTTATTCCACTGTGTGTATATAACACATTTTTTAAAGTGAAGAGTAATCGACACACAATATCCTGTTAGTTTCAAGGGTACAACATAGCGATTCAATGTTTATGTACATTATAAAATGGTCACCACGGTGAGTCTAGTTACCATCCATCACCTTACAAAGTTGTTACAATCTTGTTGACTTATATTACCTATGCTGTATATTACATCCCCACGTCTTGCTTTTTTTTTTTTTTTTATAACTGGAAAACTGCACGTCTTAATTCCCTTCACCTATCTTGTTCATCCCTCCACCCCCTCTCCTCTGGCACCCATCAGTTTGTCCTCCATATCTATGAGTCTGTTTCTGTTTTGTTTTGTTTGTTCATTTGTTTTGTTTTTAGATTCAACATGTAAGTGAAATCATACAGTATTTATCTTTGTCTAGCTTATTCCACTTAGCCTCATACCTTCTGGGTCCATCATGGTGTCACAAATGGTAAGATTTCATTCTTTTCTGTGGCTGAGTAATATTCCACTGTATGTATATACCACATCTACTTTATCCATTCATCTATTGATGGGCACTTTAATTGCTTCCATATCTTGGCTGTTGTAAATAATGCTTCAGTGAACATGGGGCTGTATATATCTCTTCAGATTGGTGTTTTCATTTTCTTCAGATAAATGCCCAAAAGTGGAACTGCTAGATCATATTGTAGTTCTGTTTTTAAATTTTTGAGGAATCTCCATACTGTTTCCCAGAGTGGCTGAACCAATTTACATTCCCACCAACATGCAGAAGGTTCTATTTTCTCCACATCTTCCACCAACACTTGTTATTCTTAACTTTTTGATACTCACCATTCTGACAGGTGTGAAGTGATATCTCAATGTGGTTTTGATTTGCATTTTCTCTGATGATGAGTGATATTGGGCATCTTTTCATGTATCTGTTGGCCATCTGTATGTCTTCTTTAGAGAAACGTCTATTCAGGTCCTCTGCCCATTTTTAATCAATAGTCGTTTTATATTGAGTTTTATGAGTTCTTTATATATTTTGGATGCCAACCACTTATTTCATATAACATTTGTGAATATCTTCTCCCATTAAGTTGACTTTTTGTTTTGTTGATGGTTTCCTTCACTGTGCAAACGCTTTTTAGTTTGACGTAGTCCCATTTGTTTATTTTGCTTTTGTTGTCTTTGCCTGAAGAGACAGATCCAAAGAAAATATCATTAATACCAATGCCAAAGAGCTTACTGCCTTGGTTTTCTTCTAGGAGTTTCATGGTTTCAGGTCGAATATTTAAGTCTTTAACGCATTTTGAGTTTCTTTTTGTGTATAATGTAAGTAAGTGGTCCAGTTGCATTCTTTTGCATGTAGCTGTCTGATCTGTCCATTCATTGATGAGGCTGTCTTTTCCCCATTGTATATTGTTGCCTCCTTTGTCATAGAATAATTGAACACATAATCATGAGGTTTTTTTTCTGGACTCTCTATTCTCTTCCACTGATCTATTTGTCTGTTTTTGTACCGGTACCATACCATTTTGATTTATTTGTTTTTGATTATAGCTTTGCACTACAGTTTGGAATATGGGAGCATGCCCCTCAGCTTTGTTCTTTCTCAAGATTGCTTTGGCTGCTTGGAATCTTTTGTGGTTCCATACACATTTTAGGATAATGTGTTATAGTTCTGTGCAAAATGGTATTTTGGTCAGGATTACTTTGGATCTATAGTTTGCTGTGGGTAGTATGGACATTTTAACAATATTAATTCTTCTAAATCCTGTAGCACATTTTCTTTATCCTCATCTGTTGGTGACCATTTAGGCTGTTTCTACATCTTGGCTATTGTGAATATTGCTGTGGTGACTTCATGTCTTCTTTATTCACCCATTCTACACAGAGATTCTATGAGGGATGCATAGACCATGGTACCCTGTGCTTGAATTTATGGCCTAACTGGGGAGAAGAGGTCAACTGCACTGAGAAACTGCATATCTCATTGAGTAAATGACACACATATGTAAAAGTAGCTGACACGTGGTAGGTGCTCAACTGTGAATTGAAATAGTAGTTCAGGAGTTGCCTTAAAGTCCAAAAGTTTGTGTAGAAGAAATGCCAGTGAGGCATAGAGGCAGGAAGTGCCATAGAAGCTTAGGGAGGAAGCAAGGCAGCATGGATTTCTTTTACCGGTGTGATTGTGGACAGGTAATCTGTCTGAACCTCATTTCCTCGTCTGTAAAATGGGGATAGTAACAGTCCCTCCATCACTGGTCATGTCAGGATTGAAGGATAAATGAAGAAAGGCTGGGGAATGACACACAAGAGGCACCAATAAATGGTGGTGGTCACCAGCCCAGCCATTGTGGTCAAAGAAAGGCTCTGTGGGGTCTACCTGTCCCCTCCTTCAGGTTACTACCTGTCCCTTTGGGGCTCTCAGGAGTAGGAACCCCTGGGGACCGAGTTGGGGGGCTGGCTGGGGTAGAGAGGGCCACAGCCTCAAAGCTGAGTGGCCCACAGCTGACTCCTGTCCCCTGCAGTGGGGCTGGAGGTGGTCGCAGGAAGGCTGAGGGACACTGGACTTGACTCTCAAGCAGAGCACAGGAGGCAGGCCCTGGCCTGGCAGTCACTGACACCCTTTCTTCCCAATTGGCAGAGGTGGACGAGTGCTCACGGCCCAACCGCGGAGGCTGCGAGCAGCGGTGCCTCAACACCTTGGGCAGCTACAAGTGCAGCTGTGACCCTGGGTATGAGCTGGCCCCGGACAAGCGCCGCTGTGAGGGTGAGTGCCTCCAACACAGCCCCAGGGCCCAGACCCTCTAGCCCAGATCTCTTAAGCCCTTGGACACACCCCTTCCTGGGAAAGCCCAGATTCCCTAGCACTTTCTTCACTCATCACCAACAAGGAATACATTTTATATGGCAGCCCTGCAGCCCCCTGAACACACTTACCAGGTGTGATGCACTCTGGTATCTTTTTTTTTTTTCATTTTTATTCACTTAAAATGCTGATCATGACCTGCTGATTGATTTCATCATCCTCTTGAAGGTCATGATCCCCAGTTTGGAAACCACTGTTTTCAGACAGGCAATGATTTTTCAGCCTCTCCCTATACCTGCCCCTGAGGTGAGAGCATTCCCTGCCAACTACCTGCAGCTCAGCCTGAGTTTGCTGTGTGTCTTTTCTCTGCCCACCTTCCTCTCCCTGCCTCCAGTCCTCACTGCCCACCGGCCCAGCCTTCCCTGAGCCCTTCACTCCCCGCCTCCTTCTTAGCAGAGGCCCTGAGAAAGTAGAGTGTTCATGCATATGACTCCCCAATTCCTCATACTCTGAAGGTACACCCCTCACCCTGCCTGCTTCCCTCCCATCCTTGAGAGACCAGACACAAGCCCAAGGACCGCAGGGCATCCACACATCCCCCTCTTCTCCTTAATGCACCCTTACCTCTGGCCCTTACCTAGAGTGGGGACTCCTGGTGGCTGATGCCACCTCTGTTGTCCCCACAGCTGCCTGTGGTGGATTCCTCACCAAGCTCAACGGATCCATCACCAGCCCAGGCTGGCCCAAGGAGTACCCCCCTAACAAAAACTGCATCTGGCAATTGGTGGCCCCTACCCAGTACCGCATCTCCCTGCAGTTCGACTTCTTCGAGACGGAAGGCAATGACGTAAGTGCCCACCAGAGCTGAGGAGACTCAGGAAGGTCTGAGGCGTGGGAGCTCGGCTCAGTGCCTGCTTCCTTCCATATGAAATACCCAAAGAATGTAGAGGAGGAGAGACTGCTCCCAATTCCAGGAAGCAGGGGAGGGTCGGGGAGGAGGGCTTGAAGGTCAGGGAGTGCACAGGGGAATGTGGAGCAAGGCAAGACTCAGTCAGGGCTTGTGTGGGGAGCGCAAGAGGATCCCGTGGGGGTGGCTTGGCACCTTTTTGAGTTGTTAGATTATGTAAGATGGGTGACTAAAGACAAAAGGACAAAAGGGAGCCTTCCCAGGTGGGGGTGGTCAGGAGAGGCTTCCTGGAGGAGGCAGGCCTAGAGCTGCACTGCCCTGCAGGTGTGCAAGTATGACTTCGTGGAAGTACGCAGTGGGCTCACGGCTGACTCCAAGCTACATGGCAAGTTCTGTGGTTCCGAGAAGCCCGAGGTCATCACCTCCCAGTACAACAACATGCGTGTGGAGTTCAAGTCTGACAACACCGTCTCCAAAAAGGGCTTCAAGGCCCACTTCTTCTCAGGTAACCCGGACTACCCAGCTGTGAGCCCACTGCCCCTCCCCCCTGCCACACTACCCCTGCACTTTCTAGCCCTCTCTGTTACCAGGCCAGCAGGGTCTGTCCCCTGCTCCCCCCATTAGCCCACCACCACCAGGCCAACCCCTCTGCTCCTGAACCCCATTACTCCTGAACCCTTTGGGCTGTATGGGAACCAGCCTGAGGATGGGCAGTACATAGGCATGAAGAAATGAAAGGAGAGGGCTTTCCTTTCAGGAGCCATCATGCTGAGGCCCCAGAGAGGGCAGGCCCTGGAAACAGGGAGTTCAGCATGGCCAGAGAACGCAGGGTGCATGCAGAGGAGGAGGGTGTTTGCCTTGGAGTGTGTGGGGCAGATTATCTGGCAGCGGCCACATCTCTAATCAGACCCACATGCCAAATGGGTTCATGCCGAGGCCTTCAGAAACGATGAGGAACCTCCCTCTCATCAACACCAAAGCCTTCCCACTCACCCTCAGCCCATAGGTGAGGGACTCAGATCCAACCAGCGTATGTTTATTGAGAGCTGCCCCGTATAAGGCTTGTGATCAAGCCCCTTTGATGGACCCATTCTTGGGAGGCCTAAAATGCAGTCAACCTCTCTGAGTTGGGCCTCCAGGGGTCCCAGGAGACCTGCCCCCTGCCTTAGTCTTCCCTCAGTCCTTCATCCTGGGGCAAGGCTGGTGGTCTTTCAGAGGCACTCTTTGACTTGGGACGTTGATAGTGTGGGGTGGGAACTCCATGAACTTGAGTTGGGGAGTGGGAGGTGGAGGGAGTGGCTGAAGCAGCTGGTTTTATATGGGAGTGGCCCAGGGATTCTGATCTCCAGCTGGCCTGGTGGGCCGGGCATGGGGTAGCAGGAAGGCAGGAAGCCCATGGCCTAGTCCACACTGCCTTCCTTTTCCCCCCCTTTGCCCAGGGTCCTGCATCCTCAAGCCCCCTATGTTGCATCCCTGCACCCCTGCCTGCCCCACCTGGATGCCATGCACTGCCCCTGTGCACTGGTTCCCTGCTTGTCACTGCCAGCCATCCTGCTCTGCTTAAAGTGCCCCACAGCCCCTGCCCCACTGCTTGCTGAGACCCCCTCCCCTTGCAATGCGAATCCTTTTCTTCCCTATGCCCACCTGGAACTCCTACAGGGTGCTCACCAGAGGGCCAAGGGGATGTAACACCTACTCAGGGGTGGGCTCAGCCCTGGGGAAACCATTACCTGCTTACTCTCGTCTCTTTCTGCCCTTCTGTTACTTGACTCTCAGAGGCGGGAGGGGGACCGACACATCTGTCAGGCTAGAGCCCAGGTCTCTCCACCCCTGGGTACTGCCCTGCCCTGGCCTGACACTGGGCCACCTGCCCCCTCAGCCCCACACAGAGACGCACACACACACGTGCACAGCCACACACACACACACACACACACACACACACACACACACACACGTGCAATGCCCTGCTGCC